TAACTTCTCAAGAAGAGAGACCTGCGTGCTCACCTCACAGTTATTCAACTGGGGCATTTTTCACATAACCGTATAAGCAAAGAGAATCTTTCTGGAATTGTGAATTGTGCCTAAATACTAAAGTGACCTATTTCTCAGTCATATTTTGACTTGTGGGCCTTTAACTCCACATATCCACATATTGTCAGCAACATCTTAGAAAAAGTTCCCCATCATCATTTTCTTTCTCACCTTTAAAATAAAAGCTTATTTTAAAAAAACATAATCCTTCAACTGCTTTGTGACCACTAGTGACCACAGCAACAATTCAGCCTTTTCCATAGACACAGATTAGGCAGCAGAGCTATGCTTCTAATGCAGCAGGTGGTGACATAGTCACTACAGGATACAGTTTTAGGAGGAAGGAATCAAATGGCATAATCAGGCCCTTTGAGGTGGTCATTCTGTCTCACTGTTACTTCTGATGCCAGCAACAACAAATTAAGTTTTCACACGGAGTAACAAATAATGTCAGCCAGTCCTGCTTGAACTCAGTTTGGCCTTAGAGCCAAACTAGAGGCTACAAGGACAACAAGGGGTTTCCTATATATCTACTACTAGGAAAAAGGCCCGTTGTGGAAATAAATAAAACCGCCTCTAGAAAGAGGCTCTGGGTGGGTGCCCCGGCCTTGGACACTCAGTGTCAATTTGCTGTGGCAACCTCAGCAGGGTATAATGACACTGAGTCCACCATTTTCTCCAGAGGAACTGATCTCTGCTACCTAAAGAACAGTTGTAATTTTGAGTGATCTCCAGCCCTCACCTGGAGATTGGCAAAGATGGTTCCCCAGAAGGGAATAGTTGGTTTGGAGGGTGGAGTCTATGGCTTTGTACCTGTCCGAGGTCCCACGCCTCCTGAAACCTCACCCTCTATCTGACTGGCTATGGCTGGGGAGAGGATTAGCAAAATGTTTAGAATGTTGGAGGCAGGATTCAGGCAAAGCATCCAGTAGATAGGGAGACCCTCTAAATGACAGATCAGAGAGCGAACTGATTTTGGAGCGTGTGGAATGTTCTAAAGAAGTACCACCACCATTCGGCTTTTATTTATAAGGGAGATTTCCATAGATATCCAATTACTTGCTCTGAAGCCCCATTGCAAAGACAGAAGGGAGGGTCCTGAATAAGAATGTAATATCCACACTCTGATGTCATGAATTTCTCAAAGATCTCTTAGAATAAAAGAACAGAAGATGCATTTGTCATATTTGTTATTAAATTAGCCACGTGGGCAACAAAAATTAGTCATGACTTGGAAAAAAACCATTGATTTGCTCTGGAAACGCTCATTAGGTTTATGAGCTTACTATCATTCTGAATTATACTCACCTGATTTTGCTGTCATTTCTTCATCACAGCTGGCTGAACTCTTTCAGTTCATACTGGCTCTGTCAGTTAGCGCCCTATTCTCTACCACACTGGATTCCAGCTGGTAGATTGGGATGTACCAATGGGACATACCCTGACTTTATTTAGGTCAAAAAGTAATGTACAGTTGCCAGCTGCCTGAAGAAAAAGTGTTCTGTTCTTTTAACACAAGCTTATTGAGATGCTATTTACCAGGTTATCCTACTTATCTTCATGCCATAAGAACATAAGAATATAAGAGAAACCAATGTTGGATCAGGTCAATGGCCCATCCAGTCCAACACTCTGTCACACAGTGGCCAAAAATACCAGGTGCCATCAGGAGGTCCAGCAGTGGGGCCAGGACATTAGAAGCTCTTCCACTGTTGCCTCCCCCCCACACACAAGCACCAAGAATACAGAGTATCACTTGCCCCAGACCTAGAGTTCCTATCTATACCTTGGGGCTAATAGCCACTGATGGACCTCTGCTCCATATGCTTATCTAATTCCCTTTTGAAGCTGTCCATGCTTGTAGCTGCCACCACCTCCTCTGGCAGTGAATTCCATGTGTGAATCACTCTTTGGGTGAAGAAGTACTTCCTTTTATCTGTTCTAACCCGACTGCTCAGCAATTTCATTGAGTGGCCATGAGTTCTTGTATTGTGAGAAAGGGAGAAACCTGCTCTATCCCATGCATAATCTTATAAACCTTGATCGTGTCACCCCTCAGCCGTCATTTCTCCAAGCTAAAGAGCCCCAAGCGTTTTAACCTTTCTTCATAGAGAAGTGTCCCAACCCTTTTATCATTCTAGTTGCCCTTTTCTGCACTTTTTCCAATGAAAAGCTTCAGCTGCCCATTTCCACACATTAAGTCTCTATGAAAA